GGAGGGGGCTGATCCGCCCTACCCCACCCCACCCCCTTTTTCTCCCCCCTCCCCTTCCACCACAATGGGCTTATCAGCTGGTGGCAGCTCTCCACACTGTATCAGAAATCAGATCAGTATCGACCAGTATGCCTCCTTAAAAATTAGATATTGGTGTCAGCCCCAAAAATCTCTATTGGTGCACCTGTATTGAGAACCATTTCTGCAGGGAAAAATTGCTGATATAATATTGCCATCTATTTAAGGGTGTTCTCAAGATTCACAGAAATAGAAATTTGATCAAAGCTTCGTGTATGTTTTCCTTATGCATAAATGCAATTTAGTGTAGGGCTGACCCAGATCTGACCCATTTAGCAATGTCATCTGACTCATGGGACTCCCTAGAGGTCTGGAAATTTGGCAGCTTGAGCTGCAGAAGTAGCATTAAATTTGATGGTGCTGCTCCAGAAGCTTTCACAATTTATGCCACTGCCAAATGACATGACTCTGTGGTCTGTATCTGGCCTATGCATCAACTTTGTTCCACTCATCTGGCCCATTGGGCCGGATGATTTGGATGTTGTTTCAGCATCAAGGAGAAAATTAAAAAGAAAGTTATCTTGTCTTCTGCTTCCAACGCAAGTAAGTGGTCTGGATTATAGAGGACTAATATTACAATAAAGCATCTTTTACTTCTAAGTTACCAATTAAAATGCAAATTAGATGGTAAAGGATTCATATATAACCCATGACCATGCTATCTGTAAACACGTTGTATTGTATTTGTGAAATGACTTGGTAGTCTGTCCTGTTCCTACTTATTTATCTCTCAGCAGATAAATTGGCTTAGTTTTTGGCAGTCACAGTAGAAAAAGAAGGGATTGAGGAAACAGCTTCATGCTCCAAGATGATCTATACAGAGCCTGTTGGAAAATTGTATTGGTACCACTTGGGCTACACAAGTCCTGCGCATAATTCCATGTCTTCATTTCCCAATGATATATTACTTTAGCATCTTTCACAAAATCTACTTTTACTTAATTTCTCTTAATAAGTCAGTGATAATTTTTAATGTTTATTTTACAATTATTTTCAGAACAAAATAACATTTTTTTTTAAATCCATGTACTGATTTTTTTGGGGGGGACCTACAGACTACTTGATGTTTTACAGCAGTGCTTTGTAAAAACAGTTGTTACCACATCTATTTAATATGTTCCTTCAGTAATAGATGTTTTAGTTTGATTTTTTTTTTGTGCCTTTAACAGAGCTTTTATGTTGAATGTTCTTTGTATTCTTCTAATTTGTTTTTTGTGTTGTGTTGTAGGTTTTTTGGTTTAATTCCTATTCTTCTGAAACACAGGATCCATTTACTTGGGATTAATTTAAAATATTGCCTGCACCATGAAAAATTTTCTTTGTTTCGGCATTTCTTGAAGCTGGACTGCCCGCTGCCTTCTGAGGAACACTTACCAGAGTTTATAAATTACGCCATTAAAGCACAAGAACAGTATGAGGAGTGGCTACCATACCTACTGTTGTCTGGATTCAGTCCATTGAATTTATTGTGCAGAGTGTGGTAAGAAAGAGAATACTATCTTGTATCTTAGATTTTATGTATTATATCATTTAACACAGCAACACATCATAATTCAGTTACCTAGTTCGAGATCATGACCTCCCAGAGATTTCAAATGACTGGAGTAAGAGATTCACAAAAAAGTGCAGTCAAACAATATAACCCTCCTTCCCCTCCCCCCCCGCAGCCTTTAAAAAAAACAAGATCGAGTAAGACTCAGTCTTTTGTGACTCCAGAGAAGGGTGTGTCTACATGTCTAATTGAAAGGTTTTCTTCCTTATTGGTTCTCAAGTTTTAATAAAAAGTATGTGAAGGTGTGATAAAGTAATGTACGAGACAAATCTCAAATACACAAATACTCCTTAGTTCAACAGTCAGTGAGGCTGAATCTCTCCAGCATGAAATCAAAGTTGGGTGGGTGAAATTCAAGTGCCAATGGCACTCTATTCTTTGCTATAGTACCATGAATATAATATTACTTTATATACAAAGTATAATTTAATGCATTTCAAATATATATAACTAGCTTTTGACTGCTTGCTTATGTTAAATTAGGTACTATGGAAGTGATGCTGGTATTTAAAATATATCAGATATTTATATTTTCTTCTATCCTGTTCACTTTTTTTCCCTTTTTATCTTTGTTAGGCAAGTTAGCTGTTTTAACTCTAGCCTTCTGTATTTATGAGCATTAAACAAAATAATTTGAGACTCTATAAGTTCATGATACAAACAAAATCTATTAACTTTGGTAGCCTTGGAAAGTTACACATATTGTTTTAGTCATTCCAGTTGCATATATTCCTTAACTGTATAGAAAAAAATTTGAATTTTAACAACCACTCATTTTTAAACATTAATTTCTGTCTTAAATGATATGCAAATATTATGGCTGAATTGTCATACTGTTTTCAATGTTAACTTCACCATTAGTATAATTTTAGTGATTCAGTGAAATTGTATATTCAGTAGTTTTCTAGTTAATAGTTAAAGGTTCATATTTCAAGCCTGACATGACAAATGATATTTGTTATTCTCTAAATCACATGTACATAAAAAGGCAAGGTATTATTTCAAGAGTAAACATACTGTGAAAAAATCCTAGTTTATAGTGGAAGCAATATTGTCCATTTGTATCATACATAACACTCTTGTATTTGACAACGTTTTATATTGTCATGTAAGCTACAAGGACTGTTTTACATGATGCTTGACTTAACAAGCCTATTTTTAAACAATTTAAAATAACTGCTTGTCAGAGTGTAATCTACAGATTTGATATATTTGTGCAACTTTAAATGCAATGTTAGCTTTAACCCCATCCCCCTTCCTAGAAAATAATAGGAGTAATAGAAAATGAATGTCATCTAGGCTTATGGCTGATCAGCTGTCACCAGCTCATTGTACATCTGTTTTGTATGATATAATGGTCAATGTAGTTCAGTAACAATAAATGTTAGTGGCAGTATTAGCAATGGTGAGGCAAACTCACCATTCCATTAAAGACAGCTAAGCACTCAGATTTCCTCTCAAGTGTATTGTTTAGATAAATGCAGAAAAATGACACTTTGCTGGTCACCTCAAGTCAAACTTGAGGTACATTAATTGTTATTAATGAAATAATAGAAAGGGCATAAAATAACCTTTGATACAAGCCATATAGAAAAGCGTTACTTTTTTTTATTTGTTGTATTTGAGATTTTCACAGTATCTTGTTTCATCTTATCAATTCAAACAAAAGTACAGGGATTTATGTCTGCATGTATGTACCATAAAACTGTTTTGTGAAAATATCGGTAGTTCCCTTGTACATACTATAAACAGATTTTTAAAAATAGCTCATTTAATCTTGCTCTCTAGCCTTTGTATCTTAACATGGGTATTTGCTAAGCATTTTTCACACGTCGTATTGCAGATATAAATAACTCTAAAATACACATTTTTTGAGTTTTTAAAACATTTTGCTTTTTCACTTTTTTCTATAAATAAGTTGGTAAATGTATTTTAGTGTAATTTTCTCTGTCAGATGTGTTTGAAAGACTGGGTAATAATGCCCTGGTGACAGGAGACCTTATTAAAACTTAGGTAGAGATAGAATAAGCAATTAGTTCTAAGAAAAATACTGTCTGTTACTGAGGCAGATATATTTTACAGGAGATGCTTTTTCTTTCAGTCTAGCTTGATTTCAAAAGTAATGGAGGACAATATAATTTGCATTAGTAAAGGGTTATGCTGTCAGGGTTATTTTAGAATTCTCTTTGATGTTTTTAATGCCTAACATGCAAATTGCTGGAAACTTGTTACAAAGACTTAAAACTTTCAATGTGTTTTTCCTCCAGATTGTTTTTAATGATATTGTATATAGCAGTTGATAATTTATGTGGTATTTTGTATTGTGTAGGATTTATTCTGTGAATAACAATGCCCTTAATTTCACTCTGGAGTTCACTAACTGGAAGAGGCTTCCTTCAGCTGTAGAACAAAACCTCTCTGACTACAAAGAAAACTCCACCTGGGTTCCACACAGTCATTTTGGTAAGCAAAACAACCAGCCATCAGATAATCTCTGTACATACCAATTTCCAGGACTGAAGTGGAAAATTGCTCTTTGGGCCAGTATGTGAAGTCTGCAGAATATAAAATAAATTGAATAGTAATTGCATTTTCATACCTCGGGAAAATAGTAATTACCCTATCCTAAGATCATACTTGAATTCATAAATTAAACAATATAGTAAGTGAAATAGTTTAGAGGTTTCAAGCTGATATTTTTCATACTCTCTACTTCATTACTGATATATGGATTAAATTTAATTGTGTCCAAAATAACTATTAGGTACTCTTTTAAGAGCCCTTAAACATAAAAAGGCAGCCATATTCCGTTGTTACAACTGTGTGCGCATGTGCAGATGCACAAAAGAGAAAATTAAATACACAGTGAATAAAAGTGAAGTTTAGAAGGGTTTTTTTTGGAAGGAAATTGGGTACTTTTATTTTATCCAACTTTGTTCTTATTTAGTCATCTTTGCAAGTCAGTTGGCTTTAAAACAGTTATGGAAAAGTTCTAGGAAAGAGTTGAAGAGATTAAAAATTCAGGATTGCTCTTAGAATTGTGAATATGAAATAAGCTATATGGACATCAAATGTAAAATGTGGCCAGGACATACCAAAATGATTTGTTTAGCCTTTTTGAAAATATAAGGGCAGATGATGGATATGTCTTGATTACATTTTTTTCCTAGATAATTTTCTGTGGACTTTTGTCATTTATTGATTTATATACCCAATTAAAAAGTACCCATCCACTGCTGTTAGTGGCTTGACAGTAAATAAAATATAAAGCATATAAATATCTACAAGTCTAGCAGCCTATTTTCATTCCTGTAATCAAAATGTAGTCAGCCAAAAATAAAAATCGATAAATATATGTCTGCAAACACCAATGCTTGCCAAATGCACCTTCCAAAAAAGGCAATCAAAACAGAAGTAGTTTTCTGTATTTTGACATATTTATTATGTTATCTAAAAAACATTTGCTATTTTAAAAATATTTGCAAAGCCCTTTTCTACTGATTGATTATAGAACTAATTCTTCTTTAAAGTGCTGCTGTAATATTTGTAAATTTAATTTTTGTTTATTTTATAAGATTTTTTTTGGAGTATTGTATTTAATATATCAATATATCTTTTTTTAATACTAATAAATATATCATTTTGGAGTGGTGGAAAACTTGAAAGTTTTTCTGGTTGACTTGTTTTTGTTAAATATATATGTGTTGTAATAAGTTCTGATTTTTTTTTTTTGGAGTCCACTTCATTCATTTGCTTAATCCTTCAGTGACGTTTTCTTCCTGTGCTTTTCTTGGGATATCATTCTGTTATGAAAAATGTTGAGTGTTTTTTAAGTTTAACATTAGGAATTAAGTGTATGAACAACAAAAAGGAAGAGAAGTTATTGCTGGTAATTAGCAAACCGTTTAAAAAAAGAAAGGTGTTTTTTGTCCATCTTAAGTTTTCCTTACAATGGGAATCTTTCACTTTTAGCAGCTAATGACATGAGAGTGATACTACAGCTAACTAACTTAAGTGTGGAAGAAAATTAGTAACTCCTCTTTTTTTAACCCAAAAAAAACCCAACAAAAAAACCAAAAAACTTCTTTGGGATTCTTAGGCATATTCTAGATGATGGAAGCAGACTCACCCTGGTAAATAAGGTTAGTTTCCCAGGGCCAGTATGCCTTCAGATTCTAAAGAAAGTGTGTGTACAAATAATCAAAAAAAAGTTGTCATCCTCACTGCTCCCCCCCCACGTGTATATACGTACGTACACACACACACTTTTAACCAGCTGTAGTCAGAGGAGGAAAGGCAGGCATGTTGCAGTTAGGCACATCCTGTGTGTGTGCAGTATTCTGCATTGGGCACTTCAGTGCTACTTGGTCTTGAATTGTGATGCAGATCCTAGGCGATTTAACACAAGAAATTAAAAGTCAAGTATGTGCATTAAAAACAGGATCCTGTGACGACACCTAAAATCTTCTTTGAGTATGTGCGTTGTGTAAAACTCGCTGTCAGTATACACAAGTCATGTGCTTGAAGTCAAAGTTTTGGTCTGAAGTGCTGGTTGTGTCCCCACATGTACTCTGAATGCCCTAGCTCTCTAATAGCTAGGGACTGACCACCAGGTACTTGGTTATTTCTTGCTGCCTGTAGTTTGGAGTCTCTGCTCTGAACTGAATACTCTTCTCTTTTAGAGACCTCTGGCATATATGAAGAAGCTTTTACTGTTAATTTAATTTAATTTAATTCCCTGCCCCCCTCACTGTTCACATATTCCTGAGAATTCTTCCCAGTATCAGGCTTTAGGACATTGTATTCAGAATTGCAACATTGAATTAAACATTACCCCTCTTGGGAGGCAGCAGTTACAGTTAATGATGGGTACGTGAAGTGTGCGTCTTTTGGAGGATCTCATATTTGCAATAGATTTGTCATGTGCAGATCATTTTAGGGGAAAAATGATAGTTAATTGGGGGTTAATATTTGTTTGACTGCTTTATTAAGACAGTCTCAGGTTTGTCTGGGGCATAAGCACACACAGACATACGTTTGTGGTAGCAAGGAGTACCTCTTTGAGCATATTGGGGGGGTGTGTGTGTGTAACTTGTGCGTGTAAGACGTGTGTGTGTATAATATGAATAAGTACTCAAAGAAGAAAGACAGAATACTTACCCATGCAGTAACTGGAGTATTTTGGGATGTTCTTTTCCTTTAGAGTCCTCTTATGCTATTGGATCCTACACTTAGAAAGGGGCGCTCAGTGGTGGTTTAGTCATGTATTGGTTCTTATGTTGTTATGGGAGCATGAGAGCACTCAGGGCAAATGTGCAGACCTAGTGGATGCTGCTAGCTGAAAGCTTGATTTTGGGTGCGTACATGTCAAGGGTGGAAATTCATATCCCTGTATCTTAAGTAATATTCTACTATGGATAAATGAATACACTTACCTGAAATAATTAGTGGTACCATCATCTGGGATACTAGCTTTTCTGGCAATCTGTGCCATGGCTTGAGCAGCCCTGGAGAGTCTTGGGGCTGCCTAGATGCTGGTGGGAATCTGTGAAGAGGCTACCCAAACAGCTGTGGCAGCAGGGTCCCCACAGGGCTCTAAAACAGAGCATCATAGGTCAGGCACTGTCAAGGAGCCAACCACTCTGCATGAGTTAGAGAATTAAGGGAAAGGTCAGGGAACCTTCTGGCTAATTGATGTTCTAGATAATTGACTTCTGGATAATTGGGGCTCTTCTGCAGTGGGGACCAACCTTTCTAGCCATGCACCCTCCCCAAGTGCCACTTGAATCCACTTCCCCTTCCCAGTCTGCTGCTCTGCTTTCTGCTTCCTACCCTGACCACCACTATGCTCCCTGTCTCCTTGCTGATCTGCTGTATGCCATGCACAAAGGCTACCTGTGCCACTTGTGATACATATGCCAATATGCCACAGGTTGGCCATCCCTGACTGTTCTACTGCATATGGTGTGTGTGTGTGGGGGGAGGAGGCGAAAGTGAGGGACAGAGTTAAAAAAATATTTTTTTTAACTTTTTAAAACTTTATTATACAAACAAATAGTGTAAATGAAAAGGTGTGTGGCCCTCTCAGAGCATGAAACACTTGTTATTAATACCAGAAAGCGCCATGTCACTAGAGATTGAAACAGTTTTCCCCCGTACCCCTGATGGGATTCCACATGTAGAACCAGCTGTCCAGCTTCCACTTTGCAGAGGGCCCCTTTGCTGGCCCAGCATGACACAAACTGGTCCACATTTTGTTGCAAGGTGTAGTGTTCAGATTTAAATGGGACATGCACCTAGACCAGGAAGGGGAAGAGTTGGAGGGTGTCATTGGAGTCAGTCCCTACAACCTGGCTTTTGCAGCTTTTTCAGAGGAGCCATCTTGGCCTGGCCCAGGAGGAAGTTGGCGTTGGTCGCTTGATGCAGGATAGAGAAGATGTACATAGTCTTGGAGAAGTCCAAGTCCCACATGCCAAAGAGGGTGCTGGGGACAGCAAAGAGTTGCTTCAGCTGGAGGCAGTCTAGGGAGGCTTGAAAAAGTCTCCACCCCTTTCTCACAGAAAGGGCAGGCCATTGACATGGCTGGGTTTAAGTGGTGGACAAAAGTGCCTGTGTAGCAGCTGCCACTGGAGATCATTTGGCAATGGGTGATTTGGGCAGGGGGCACTAGATTGGCCAGACTTGCTCTGGTGTTGGTGCCACTAGGTGCTGCCTCTAAGTTATGTCAGGGCGCACAGTGAAGACATGGCTGTCCATGTGTACAGTTCCTTTCCAGACAGGATCTCAAAGCAGATCACAGCACTGTTCTTACTGGGCATGGGGAAGGACAGCATAGTGGAGAGAGAGAGACTTTCTTTCTTGGTGTGTGTGGAGGATGAACCAGTCTTAAAACAATTTCTGGGTTCTTTTTTCCTTCTGTTGCTCCCTTGTTCTTCCAAAGCGCTGATTTCCTTCTATAGACTTGTGCTTATTATCTAGCGAAATGTGGTATTCTTGAACTTGTATGCCTCCATGTCAAGAATAACTTTGCCTGGAAAATAGCTACTATTCCATTCCATATAACCTGTTACGAGCATGTTAATGACGAATAACAGTGCTGTTTGTTGAGAAGGACTGTCAGTTGTATCTAAATCTTGTATAATTAAAAAGTCTGAATGGTTAGTTGTTGTTTCAAAAGTAGTAAACTCAAGTTATGAAAACAGTTCACAGTGAATTATTCAGAAGCATGATTTAGAGTTTTTGCAGTAGCTGTCTTAGTATGATCACTGCTTTTTGACTTTTTTTTAGCTTTTGAACATTGAATGTATTCTTTACAGGCAGCCAAATCTATATGTAGCAACCAAATCCATATGCAGCAATACAGTCTAATTACTAAAGAATCTGTATTGTTTCTAAATTTAATTTGGTTTTTGCTTATCAAGATGGCTGGAGAGTGACCCTTTAGTCCCAATATTTTTCAAAAA